TTTTGAAGTGCTGCGGTTCCAACTGTGCTGTACATTCTAGTAATGTCTCATCCCAGAATGTCCTGCAAAGGAGCAGTTGTTTTGAAGGCAGGCTCTTATTGGTAGGTTTACAAAAGCATTGTATTAGATGTCTTATGAGAATGCAAGCATTCTGTAAGAGGACAGCTTAATCAGATTTTGTTTCTCAGGTGTACTATATTTTAATTATTATTATTATTAATAATAATAATAATTATTATTATTATTAATTACCCATATTTTCTTACAGCTTGAATCTTTAAAATGCATCAATAAAGCAAATAATAATAATAATAATAATAACTGGAGGTTAAAAGATATACAGAAAAAAGAGGATTGGTTAAATAAAGTGTTAGAAATTATGAACATGGACAGGCTTACATACTGGCTCACACCTAATCAAGGATTGCCTAAAAAATACACTAACTGGGACCTTGTAAAAGACTATTTAAAACAGATGAAGATTGACCTCAATTGTTGAAGCTATCCAATCCTTAGAGAAGAAGTAGATGGAGGGGCAATGGCTGAATCAAAATATAATTTCAAATATTTTTTAAAGACTATCGGAAGTAAGAAGTAAGTCAACAAAAACATTTTGGTTTTTTTCTCTCGTTTTTTCCCCTTATTTTTATTATTTCTTACCTATCCTCTGTTTTCCTACTTTCTATACAAATAAATGTTCTCCCACTTTCATTGTACAACCTATAATCTACTTTTTCTACTCTATAGTCAATATGACAAAACTGCAATAAAATTATCTAAAAAACAGTAATAATAACAGCAACAATAATAATTGGTTGTGTTTCAAATAATAACAAAAATAAATTAATAATTATTCACCGATACATCACACAGTCCTAGACACTTGGGAAGTGTCCAACGTGTGATCCAATACGCTAGCTAGCATAGTGATCTTGTTTTATGTGTACTAATCTTGTGTTTCAAATAATAATAATTAAATAATAATAAGTTTTATTTGTTACTCACCACTCTTAACGGCTTGAGACAGGGAACGGCAAAGCCAAAACACATCAAGATAAAATACATACAAAAAAAAATTCAATATATCTAAACACATCATTATAATATATATGGGCCAAACCATTAAAAAAAAACACCCCACAAAAACCTGGATTGATTTATCTTTGGATTGGTGTTGGAAACACTTCTTGCGCTCCCAGCCATTTTGGGCTCTTGAAGTAGAGCAGAGGGATTGTGGCCATTTTTAATAGTGGATTACTGTCTAAGTCTTGTGAGGCTTGCAGTCAGGCTCTATTGAAAATGTCTGCTGACACTTTCCTCCACCTCAGTAACCCAAACTGATGATGTGCCACTTTCTTTGGGGTGTCCTATGGGGCTCCTGAATGGTAGCCTGAAAAAGAAAGTACAGAAGGAGGGGTGGCTGCATTTCCCTTTTAAGAGAAGGGTGAATGGGGTGGGAGCCTTGCTTTCAAATCCCTTCCTCTTGTCACTGCCTTTACATTACGTCCCACAATAGAGACAGAATAATTTTCTTGCTTCCTCCTGCCTTTTAAGTCATATTTTCGTCCGTTCCTCTCATTTGTATTTCTTTCTCTGCATTTACAGATTAGCAATGTACTTCAACTCCTCCCCCATAACTCTTAAAAAAAATACAGATTTTCTCTTTAGCCCTTTCTAAATAGGTTCCTTCTATGCATTTTTAAAAGATAAGGAAAATATTTGTTTGTTACATACCCCCATGTTTTACCTTCAAATTACAGAGCACAACATAATAATTTTTATTCCTTGGTGTCGTGTTTTTAAGGTATGTTCCTGGGGTTATTTGCTAGGCCTGGGCCATCCATGGTTCTAAATGGTTCTAAAGTACTTACAAAACGAAAGTTCTGGTGATGAAAATTTCCGAACTCTAACAAAAATTTCAAAATTTAATTATTATTTCATTATTGGTGATTTTTTATGATGGAACCAATTAGGAACTGCCATTTATAATGAAGTTTTGAAAGTTTTGTTGGAGTTCTGAAATTTTCATCACCAGAACTTTAGTTTTGTAAGTACTTTAGAACCATTTAGAACCATGGATTGACCAGGCCTATTATTTGCGGTACTGAGTCAGAAAATTGCACTGGATAGACTGCATCAGCTCTGGTTTCTTAGATAAAGTTATCATGATTCTTTATGGGTGAGGAGATGAGAATGGTAGATGCCAAATCTTCTGTATCTCAAAAACTAGAATTGACAGGGGGAAACTGGTTCCATTTTTGGAATTGGAAGGTTAAATTTACCCAGAAACAGGTCTAACATTTGAGGCTCTGAAATGTGTATTGGCCACTGTTATCTGAGGGTCATACCAAAATCCGTCATTTTATAAGCTTTCGACATATACATGAGGTTGACTTAGACATAAGAGCCTCTGGTGGTACAATGGGTTAAACTCTTGTGTCGGCAGGACTGTTGACCAATAGGTTGGCAGATTGAATCTGGGGAGTGGGGTGAGCTCCCGTCTGTCAGCTCCAGCTCCCCATGTAGAGACATGAGCGAAGCCTTCCACAAGGATGGTAAAACATCAAAACATCCGGGCATCCCCCGGGGCAGCATCCTTGCAGACGGCAAATTCTCTCACACCAGAAGCAACTTGCAATTTCTCAAGTCTCTCCTGACACTCACACACACACTTACTTTACTTAGTTGATCCCTCATTGTCCAAGTAGGATTGTCTTCCAAGATCAGTGTCCTGGCGGTGAGTCCGTAGGTGACTGTGGAGCCCTATTCTTGACCTGCATGTTCTCAGTGAGGGCATTGGTTTCCAGGTGGAAGGCGTCCCGGTCAGGGTTGGCTTGATGTGCCTTCCTCTTGGCACGTTTCTCCCTTTTGCCCTTCATTTGTGCCTCTTCAAATTCTACAGCACTGCTGGTCACAGCTGACCTCCAGCTGGAGCGCTCAAGGGCCAAGGCTTCCCAGTTCTCAGTGTCTATGCCAGAGTTTTTAAGGTTGGCTTTGAGCCCATCTTTAAATCTCTTTTCCTGCCCACTAACATTCCGTTTTCCATTCTTAAGTTTGGAATAGAGCAACTGCTTTGGGAGACGATGGTCGGGCATCTGGATGGCGGAGGGCCATCGCTTCAATGCTGGTGGTCTTTGCTTCTACCGGCACGCTGACATTTGTCCGCTTGTCTTCCCAAGAGATTTGCAGGATTTTCTGGAGGCAGCACTGATTGAATTGTTCTGTAGACTGTCCATGTTTTGCAGGCGTATAGCAGGGTTGGGAGGACAATAGCTTTATAAACAAGCACCTTGGTATCCCTACGGATGTCCTCTGCTTCATTCGGAAAAATGCTGCACTTGCAGAGCTCAGGCGGTGTTGTATTTCAGTGTCAATGTTGACTTTGGAGAGGTGGCTGCCAAAGTAGCGGAAACGGTCAACATTTTCTAATGTTACATCATTAAGCTTTATTTCTGGCATTGGAGAGGGGTTGGCTGGTGACCACTGGAACAGCACTTTGGTTTTCTCGATGTTCAATGACAGGCCAAGCTTCTCATATGCTTCTGCGAAGGTGTTTAGAGTGACTTGAAGGTCTTCTTCTGAATGCGCACAGACGACACAGACACAAACTTAGACATGAGTATATCAGGTATGCATTTTCAGCGTGCAAGTTTCATTTTTCCCTTTTTCGTTTTGCACAGGTGCGCATCCAGACGGTGCCGGCCTCCCATCTCCAACAGGGAACAGTCTCTGGTTCGGCCAAAGCGGTCTCCACGGTGGTCGTCACCGCTGCCCCGTCTCCAAAACAGACCCAAGACCAGCAGTAAATCCAGCTACAAAACAACAATGTATTACAATGAGTTATTTTGTCCCTTTCTCTTCCATTTCTGTCCAGCTTGGAGTCAGACATGACCTCTGCAAGGGTTCCTGATGCATTGAAAGCATCTGTGGGATATATTTGAGCCTTGCTTTGACTCAGAATCTGCAGAGACTCCGAACACATAGTGGTGTATTCTAAATGGCCTTAACATCTTCATATTTGGGTTAAAGCAGGCACGGGCAAGCTTCAGCCCTCCAGGTATTTTGGACTTCAACTCCCACAATTCCTAACAGCCGGTAGGCTGTTAGGAATTGTGGGAGTTGAAGTCCAAAACTGTACTTTTCCCTGTTTTAAAGGCAGAATTTCAAAGAAATACATATTTAGAAAGATGTGTCTCTCCTTCAATTTGTTTCTTGACACAGAAGGAGGTTCTTGTCTCAACAAAGTGTGGTATTTATTGCCTAACCTGCTAACAGACTCCGCTTGAGTTTTTCTAATGTCTTCTTTCACATTAAACATGCTTTAATTTTGAAAAAAATATATATTCTGCATTTCAGGATGTCTTAGGAAAGGCTTCAAGTGAACACCGGAGGGATTTTTTCTTGCTTAACATCTAGGTATCTGGTAAAAAATTAGCTGAAAATATCTTGTTACTATCTGACATCTAAGGAAAGCGATGTTTACACACTTTTACTATTTATTTTTTAAAATATTAAATAAAAAAAACATATCAGTGGAGACAAGCGGATGCCTAAACTTTATGCAGTTTCGTTACAAATGCTTGACCTTCTGTAAACGGATTTCCAGCAAAACAGTATATACCGAATTAATACTATAATCCTGTTGAAAGCCTTAAAAAGAATATACTGTTCATGTTTCTTACCCCAAAGTTTAATGCCACAGATTTTCCGGTATTTCTTCCAGCCAAACAAACCCAGTTCACCGAGTGGTGTCTTGCCTTCCAAGAATTTGCTGGAGAGCAAAAATGTTCAGCATGTGGCCCAGCAATATGGGTTCTTTTGCACTTTCAGCGTATTTGAAGACTATTTGCTCCCAACAGTTTAAAAGTAGTGTGTGTGTTTGTGTGTGTGTGTGTATGTATACCCTGTTTCCCCAGAAATAAACCCTAGCATTATTTTTACAGGATTTTTGAGGTTGTGACCTCACAACTTCTGAGGGTGCCTGCCATAGATGCAGGCGAAACATCAGGAGAGAATGCTTCCAGATCATGGACACACAGCCCAAAAAATTTGCAGGGATGTGGCCCCTGGAGCTCTTTTCTCGGGCCCTCCTCTTTCTGACCATCCTATCCTTCCTTCCTTCTCTTTCCTTCTTACTTCCCTTCCTCTCTTCCTTCCTTTCCTTTTGTCTTTTCTTCACTCCCTTCATTCCCTTCCAGCCTTCTCTTTCTCTTTCCCTTCCTTTCTTCTCTTTCCTTTCTTCTTTTGTCCTAGAAGATGTTTAGCTGGGAGAAGAGAAGGTATACAGAGAACATGAGAACCATGTTTCAAGATTTTAAAGTGTGTCCCATTGAGGAGAAGGGGGAAAACTGACTTTCTGCTGTTTTTTTATTTATTTATTTCGGGGTTCTTTTACCCCGCCCTTCTCACCCCGAAGGGGACTCAGGGCAGCTTACAAAAGCAAAGGCACAATTTGATTCCTGCATCACAGAACAATCAAAACACAAAATTACATCAATTCACAGTTAACAACAATTCATGCATTATACCAATAAAATCAATAAAACCCAATACAAACCCAATTCCTCCTCCTACATGGTCAGCGTTCGCTATCTCATAGTTCTAATTTTCAGTTCCAGTTCGTCAATCCTGTTGGTCTTACTCGCCTGATTGTCTTATTTAGAGATCAGGGCACAAGGAAGCAATGGTTTCGTGTAGGAAAGGATCTTGATAAAATAGTGTAGAGACATCACATTAGCAACGAAGATCCGCATAGTAAAAGCAATGGTATCCCCCGTAGTCACCTACGGATGTGAGATCTGGACCATAAGGAAGGCTGAGCAAAGGAAGATAGATGCTTTTGAATTGTGGTTTTGGAGGAAAGTTCTGAGAGTGCCTTGGACCGTGAGAACCAGTCCATACTTCAGGAAATAAAGCCCAACTGTTTACTGGAGCGAAGGATATTAGAGGCCAAGATGAAGTATTTTGGCCACATCATGAGAAGACAGGAAAGCTTAAGGAAGACAATGATGCTGGGGGAAATGGAAGGAAAAAGGAAGAGGGGCCAACCAAGGGCAAGATGGATGGACGGCATCCTTGAAGTGACTGGCTTGACCTTGAAGGATCTGGGGGTGGTGACAGCTGACAGGGAGCTCTGGCATGGACTGGTTCATAAAGTCACGAAGAGTCGGAAGAGACTGAACAAATGAACAACAACAAGGAAACAGATTTGACTGGAAAGACTAGGAACAACTTCCTGAGAGTAAGAGCTGTTGGAGAGTGGGATAGGCTGCCTGGGAGCGTGGTGGAGTCTCCTTCTCTCGAGGCTTTTCTGCAGAGGCTGTCTGTCAGGAGTGCTTTGATTGTGCCTTCTTCCATGGTGGCGGTTGGACTGGTTGGCCCTTGGGGGTCTCTTCCAGCTCTAGGATTCTATATTAATTTATTTTATTTATTTACAGTATTTATATTCCGCCCTTCTCACCCCGCAGGGGACTCAGGGCGGATTACAGTGTACGCATATATGGCAAACATTCAATGCCAATTTGACATACAACGTATACAGACATACACAGAGGCTATTTAACTTTTTCTGGCCACCAGGGGAGCTGTCGCTTTCATCGTCCATCTGCGACACTGATGAAGTACTTCCGCATTCCCCGCATGCTTTTGCTGGAGTGCTTTTGCTGGTCTTTTTTATGGCCTCATAAATTAGTTAATTGAGCCTCCCCACACAAGGTGGTACCTAATTTTCCTACTTGACAGATGCAACTGTCTTTCGGGTTGCAAAGGTCGACAACAGGCTACACAATTGGTTGGAAGCCCACTCCAACCCGGGCTGGCTTCGAACTCATGACCTTTTGGTCAGAGTGATCTTAATGCACGCGACACTCAGCCAGTTGCACCACAGTCCCGGTGCGAGCAGGCAATATGAGGTCTAATGGATACACTTTTTCTCTCCCATTCACTATCTCATCCTGACCAAGGCTAACCCTTTTGGGATGCAAACGTTTCCCATCTTTCCTTCACTTTCTGCCCCGAAAGGGAAGAGGAAGGGGAGGAAAGGGCAGGGAGGGGGCTTGGGGAGAACCCCCTCCCTCTTGGCCCACCCAATCCATTCTGGCCCACCATATGGCCCACAAATTAGAAAATCTGCCCATGCCTGGCTTAGATATTTTTTACCCCAAAGGATTGGTGAGGAACGTTAATCCAACTCTCCTGCATTCTGAAACCTAGCCTGTGCCACACACTTAGTAAAAACTTGGTATTTTAAAGATTTCAGTAATATGGTATACATTTTCAGGAACTACAGCCACCGTTTTTAAAATAAAGTCTCGTTTTTAAGATATCACAGTGCATTCCTGTTTTGCCTTTTGCAGTGGTTGACAGGGCTACACCTTTACAGTCAGTTGATAGTATTGTTTATTGACTTAAAAGCAAAGGTCATCACGGAACAGTATTTGCCATTCAATATTAATCATATCTGCAGGGCTGTGGGGAGATTACAACCCATGTTGGTTTGAATACAGCTCCCGTCAGCCTCTTCCTTAACCGAAAGCACATTGTGGTAACCAAGCTCTGTCGCTTTCTATAAAAATAGATTTTGCAGAATCTGGTGCACATTGGGCTGGATTCTGAGCATTGGAGCATCAGGTCGGCGGCACCTGAAACAGCTAATTTGGGGGGACGGGGCGGAGAGAGAAGCCTCTCGATGGATTAATGAACAGATAATTCCTGAAAAACAATGGCTGTCACCTTCCATTTTCTTAACAGCCCTCCCCAATCTGTTATTGATATACTTTGCACTGCAGTCACACTAAGTTTGCTGAGCAGAGAAGATGATAACTGTAGTCCAAACTTATTAGTATGTATACTATTATTAGGTGGAAATACACTTGAAGAGGGGTTCTACAGTCAAGAAACCTCATCTCAGTGTTGAGGATGGTAGTGAGGTATGTGAGGATGCTTGCCATAGATGCAGGCAAAACGTCAGGAGAAAATGCCTCTAGAACATATAGCCCAAAAAAACCTACAACAACCCAGAAAGTACTGTGTTTTCGGATGGTCTTTGGCGACCCCTTTGAAACCCTCTCATGACCCCCAGGTTGAAGAATGCTGGCCTAAGTAAAGTAAGTATTTACACAATGCTAGCCAGGTGGTTTGGCTCTTACTACTTGCTGCCCTGATCCTTACTTGTTGCTTAACTTACTTAACTTACTTGTTACTTAAGAAATGATAGAAACTCTTAACAGTTTTAACCCCCAAACCGTCCCTTTGCTTGGTGCAAAGAGGGAGGAAGGAATAGAGCAGTGTTTCTCAACCTGGGGGTCGGGACCCCTGAGAGGGTCGTGAGGGAGTGTCAAAGGGGTCACCAAAGACCATCAGAAAACATAGTATTTTCTGGTCGTCATTGCGATTCTGTGTGGGAAGTTTGACCCAATTCTATTGTTGGTTGAGTTCAGAATGCTCTTTGATTGTAGGTGAACTATAAATCCCAACAACTCCAACTCCCAAATGTCAAGGTCTATTTTCCCCAGACTCCACCAGTGTTCACATTTGGGCATACTGAGTATTCATGCCAAGTTTGGTCCAGATCAATCATTGCATGAAGCCACAACACTCCTCTGGATATAGGTGAACTACAACTCCCAAACTCAAGGTCCATGCCCACAAAACCCTTCCAGTGTTTTCTGAGGTCATGGGAGTTCTGTGTGCCAAGTTTGGTTCAATTCCATCACTGGTGGAGATTCAGAATGCTCTTTGATTGTAGGTGAACTATAAATCCCAACAACTACAACTCCCAAATGTCAAGGTCTATTTTCCCCAGACTCCACCAGTGTTCACATTTGGGCATACTGAGTATTCGTGCCAAGTTTGGTCCAGATCCATCATTGCATGAATCCACAGTACTCCTCTGGATATAGGTGAACTACAACTCCCAAACTCAAGGTCCATGCCCACAAAACCCTTCCAGTGTTTTCTGTTGGTCATGGGAGTTCTGTGTGCCAAGTTCGATTTAAATCCATCACTGGCGGAATTCAGAATGCTTTTTGATTGTAGGTGAACTATAAATCCCAGCAACTACAACTCCCAAATTACAAAATCAATCCTCCCCCTCCCCCAACCCCACTAGCATTCATATTTTGGGCATATGGGGTATTTGTGCTCAATGTAGTCCAGTGAATGAAAATGCATCCTGCATATCGGATATTTACATTACGATTTATGTTGTTGTTCATTCGTTCAGTCGTCTCCGACTCTTTGTGACCTCATGGACCAGCCCACGCCAGAGTTCCCTGTCGGCTGTCACCACCCCCAGCTCCTTCAAGGTCAGTCCAGTCACTTCAAGGATGCCATCCATCCATCTTGCCTTACCTTTGCCTTACCATCCATCCATCTTGCCTTACCTTTTGCCTTACCTCTGCCTTACCATCCATCCATCTTGCCTTACCTTTTGCCTTACCTCTACGATTTATAACAGTAGTAAAAGGACAGGTATCAAGTAGCAACGAAAACAATCTTATGGTTGGGGGTCACCACAACATATGGAACTGCATTAAGGGGTCACCACATTAGCAAGGTTGAGAACCACTGGAATAGAGGGAGGAATGGGCATTTCCTCCTCCTCTTCCTCTCACCTGTTGGGAAGGAGGGAGGGAAGGGGTGGGGCTTGAGGCCAGGTAACTCCTGCCCCACCTTGAAACTCCCCACCCTCCTGCAAGACGGAAAAGGAAGCGGCTCAAAGAAAGAGGCACAGAAAGAGGAGGAAAGGATCTCTCTCTCTCTGTGTCTTTCTTGGGGAAGGAGCCCCATTCCGACGAAGACCGGATGTGGAGGGAGGGGCCCCAGCCTGCCTTTTGGCTTCTTTAACCAAGTTCCAGCTCGCCCAAGGCTTCTGGCTAGACGCTGACCCCGAATTCGGAATTGTCGGGTTTTCTGTTTTTCCCCCGGAAGGATCCCTTTTTGGGTTTTGCTTGTTTTGGATTCTGTTGGGGAACTTGTTGCTTCTCTCTTGCTTCTTCCTCCCTCCCTTCCTCCCTTCCTGCCCAAGTGGCCTTCTTTCTTTCTTTCTTTCCAAGGAGAGCAACCCCCTCCTCTCCATGAAGGATTACAAGAAGCCCCCCAACGAGAGGAAAATGAACATTTACCACCCGCCGCCCGGGGGCAAAGGGCAGGGCTTCCACTCCGGCCTCAAGTACAGCAACCAAACAGAGGTAAGGCTAAGGGCCTCCGGGTGGAGGGTGATAACTTTGGAACAGTGTGTGTGTGTGTATAAACTTTGGAACTATATATATATATATATATACACACACACATACACACACAAGCTGTACCCGCCACGCGTTGCTGTGGCCAACCTTCCCTCCCTCTTTCTCTACTTCTTTCTTTCTTTCTCTCCTTCCTTCCTTCCCTCTTTCTTTCCTTTCCTCTTTTTCTTTCCCTTCTTCTGCCTTCCTTCTCTACCTGTTTCTTTTCTCGCCATCCTTCCTTGTCTCCTTCCTTCCCTCCCTCCCTCTTTCTCTCTTTCATTCCTTCTCTCCTTCCTTCCCTCTTTCACTTTTTCATTTAATTCTCTCCCTCCTTCCCTTCCTTCCTTCTCTACCCTTCTTTACTTCCTTCTCTCTTTCCCTTTCTCTCCCTCCTTCTATTTCCTTCCTTCTCTCCTTCCCTCCTTCTTCTCTCCTTCCCTCCTCCTTCTCTCCCTCCTTCCTTCTCTACCCTTCTTTACTTCCTTCTCTTCTTCCCTTTCTCTCCCTCCTTCTCTTTCCTTCCTTCTCTATCCTTTTTTCCTTCCTTCTCTCCTTCCCTCCTCCTTCTCTCCCTCCTTCCTTCTCTACCCTTCTTTACTTCCTTCTCTTCTTCCCTTTCTCTCCCTCCTTCTCTTTCCTTCCTTCTCTATCCTTTTTTCCTTCCTTCTCTCCTTCCCTCCTCCTTCTCTCCCTCCTTCCTTCTCTACCCTTCTTTACTTCCTTCTCTCCTTCCCTTTCTCTCCCTCCTTCTCTTTCCTTCCTTCTCTATCATTTTGTCCTTCCTTCTCTCCTTCCCTTTCTCTCCCTCCTTCTCTTTCCTTCCTTCTCTTCCTTTTTTCCTTCCTTCTCTCCTTCCCTCCTTCTTCTCTCCCTCCTTCCTTCTCTACCTTTATTTCTTTCCTTCTTTCTCTCCCCTTCTTCTTTCCCTTCTTCTCTCCCCCCTTCCTTCTCTACCCTTTCTTTCTTTACTTCCGTCTCTTCTTCCTTCCTTCCTTCCTCCTTTCTGTGTATGTGTTTTGTATGTGTATGCATATATGTGTGTATATACGTGTGTTTGTGTATATATATGTGGTTTTGTGCATGCGTTGTAATGTAGTTTTTGCTTTTTTAAGTCCCTTCTGCTGTGTTTTTCAGTGTTTTTATGAGTGATGGTCACTTGTTGGCCTGAGAGGTGTCTTGTGTCCAAATCTGGTGTCAATTTGTCCAGTGGTTTTTTAGTTATGTTAATCCCACAAATGAACATTACATTTTTATTTATATAGATACATAAAACTTTGGATACATATGTAAACTTTGGAAGTATATATATATATATATATATATATATATATATATATATATATTAGCTGTCCCCTGCCATGCATTGCTGTGGCCCACTCTGGTGGTCATGGGAGTTCTGTGTGGGAAGTCTAGCCCAATTCTATCATTGGTGGGGTTCGCACCTCCACGGTGCCTTAAAACATACCACATTAGTTAAAACATCCGTTAAAAATTAAAACATAATAAGCATAATAAAAATACATTTCAATGAATCATAGAGTCGTAATCTAAAGGCCAATCCCGTAGTCAATTTGCACATATTCCATGCTAACATTACTGCACTGCTCTATTTTTCAAATGCCTGCTCCCAGAGCCAGGTTTTGACTGTCTTTCTAAACACTGGGATGGAGGGGGCTGCCCTGATATCACTAGGGAGGGAGTTCCACAACTGAGGGGCCACCACTGAGAAGGCCCTGTCTCTCGTCCCCACCAGTTGTGCTTGCAAAGAAGGTGGGACTGAGAGCAGGGCCTCCCCAGATGATTTTAATCTCGGAGATGGTTCATAGAAGGAGATATGTTCAGATAGATTTTCAGCCTTGATATTCTGGGTTATATGGCTGTGTGGAAGGGCTATTAATCTGGTGGGTAAGGGCTCAGTAGAGTAGATCGAATCAGTTGCTGCGAAGTGAGTCAACACAAAGCTAACTCATAGGCCTACTTTAGTCAAGCTGACAATAGGCTTGTGAGTTTTTTCTTCCTCCTTTGTTGGTTTCTTTTTCCAGTGAATTGTTTCCTTAAGTGGCTTTCTGCAAACTTGGAAAAGTGAGTGGATTATTTTGTGTGTGGAGAAGAGGGAATATTGCCCTGTAAACATGCTTCTTGGAGCTCTATCTTTGTTGGTTGCTTATCTGGAGGCAAGATGAACTCTACGCAACAGGTCCCACTCTCGGGCAAAACATATCAAAGTCTAGTTGGCCCTCCATAGCCACAGATTCTGCGTCTACAACTTCAACCTTTCACAATATTTTACAAAATCCCTCCCAAAAAACTCATCTTAGATCTGCTGTTTTATATAAATGACACTGTTTTATTGTATACTAGCTGTCCCCTGCCACACGTTGCTGTGGCCCACTCTGTGTAGATGTGTTTTGTGTGTGTATATATTTGTGTGTATGTGTATATATATGTGTTTACATATATATATGTGGTTTTAAGCATGTGTTGTAGTGTATATTTTTTTTTGTTTTTTTGGCTTTTAAAGTCTCTTCTGCTGTGTTTTTCAGTGTTTTTATGAGTGATGGTCATTATGTTAATCCCACAAACAAACATTACATTTTTATTTATATAGATCATAGGACTTGAGTACAGGCAATCTCCAAGTCTCCAAATTGGGATCTGTAGATTTGCCCTTAAGTTGAATTTGTATGTAAATCAGAACAGATACACTTTTGAAGTGTATCTCCAGCCTAGATCTATATAAATAAAAAAATAATGTTCGTTTGTGGAATTAACATAATTCAAAAACCACTGGATGAGCTGACACCAAATTTGGACACAATACACCTATCAGGCCAATGAGAGACCATCACTCATAAAAATACCGAAAAACACAGAAGAGACTTAAAAACCCAAAAAATAAAAATTATATTACAATGCATGCGCAAAACCACACACACAAACACACATATATATTTATATGCAAACACACATATACACATATGCACAAATATATACACACATATATACGCACACGAAACATACACACAGACTGGGCCACAGCAACGTATGGCAGGGGATGGCCATATATGTGTGTGTGTATATGTAGGCCATAGTTAGCTAGTAGCTAGCACTATATATATATGCATATGTGTATGTATTGCTGTGGCCTAGTCTGTTGATCTGGAAAATAAAGTAATGAGAAAGTGTTGGGGATGGCCAGTGTGTATATATGTGTGTGTGTGTGTGTGTGTGTGTATTTATATGTATTATGTGTGTGTATATACAGTAGAGTCTTGCTTATCCAACATAAATGGGCCGGCAGAATGTTGGGTAAGCGAAAATGTTGGATAGTAAGGAAGGATTAAGGAAAAGCCTATTAAATGTCAAACTACATTATGATTTTACAAATTAGGCACCCAAACACCATGTTTTACAATAAATCAACAGAAAAAGTAGTCCAGTACACAGTAACATTATGTAGTAATTATGTATTTATGAATTTAGCACCAAAACATTGCAATGTATTGAAACAGCTGTGGATCTGGGCGGGAGGCAGGCTGCGTTGGATAATACAGAACGTTGGATGAGCGAAACTACTTTCTCTGTGTATACATGCACACACAAACTTTGGATGGCATAGGGAAGGGTTAACACCCCTGCAGTGTTTGTTTTGCTCTCTGTGCCTCTCTTCAGAAGATTTCACCTCACTTTCTGTCCCTGTGAGAATTGGATTTTGAAAAAAATGTGGAGATAAAGATTGGTGACAGAGTTTCAGTGGAGACACATTTTCCCCAAGATGATAATTCTTTCAGGAGTGAATTTCCCTTCCGAGGGGTAGATTTCTCTCGTTTCCTGTTGTCTCACCCCTGTGTGTAACTATGAGTCATTTGTATGTTTGTAATTCAGGAACTGCCTGTATCTACAATATTGGTATCCATGAGATCCTGGAAGCAAACCCCAATGGATACCAAGGACCCATTCTTAGCCATTCACAAAAATAAAAGTACAGAAGGGACAGGATTTCGCCTGCTGTTTGGCTTCAGGATATGCTGCTTTAAGCGGGTAAACATCTGAAGCAGCAGAAATGTGTGTGTTTTTAGAGGTATCATGTGCAATATGGCAATATGTCATTGTGAAGCTATAAAAAAAGTGTTAGACAACATTTAGTCTGTAAACGGATCTGCATGTGGATTATTGGGGGTTTCCTGAAAATGCATTTGGTTGTTCAGAAATTATTTCCACTCTGGGCTTAGCTGGGTCCCAAACACGCTTGTCTTTAAACTTGAAAGTATAGCATAGAGCTACAAAAGAATGATGTGCTTCGATCATAGGCAACTATGCATGAAGCAGTCCCTTCTAATGGTTTTGGGACATTCTTTATAGCAGTGTTTTGGGGCATCTGATGGCTTTTCATCTTGCGTCTCCTCCCACAAGAAGTGTTTACAGACAGTGGAAAACAGTCAATGAGGTCCATGAGTTGGGGCAGGTTATCCATTACTGTTGTTGTTATGTGCCTTCAGGCCAACTTTGACTTATGGCAACCAAATCGTAGGATTTTTTCAGAGGAGGTTTGCCACCTCCAAGGTTTTCTCTAAGGTTAAGAGAGTATTACTTGCCCAAGGTCAACCTTGATCATCTGGTCCAACACTCAAAGTGTTCCATAATTCTGGATGTCCCTCCTGTTGCTGTCGTTGTGTTCTTTCAGGTCATTTCTGACTTCTGGCAACACTATCGGAGCTTATTTGGCAAGAGTTGTTTTGAGGAGATTTCTTTGGAGGCTAGGAGAGAGTGATGTGTCCAAGGCCACCCAGATGGTTTCCATGGCTGAGCATAGATTCGAACCCTGTTCTCCAGAGTCAACACTCGAACAACTATGTCTTGCTGGTTAATTAATAAAGCTGTCTATGATGTTGTGGTGGATTTTGAAAGGCAAGGGTGAGACTAGAGCCTGGGATCTTCTCTTAAGTCAGGTTGTCTGGTTGCTC